GCTGAGGAGCAACTAGTTGGGGCCCACTCAGTGCTGGGCCCCTTGAGGTTGGGATGGAAGCTTGAAGCAGGAGTGGGGACGCCAGGCCACTGCTGCATGTGAACATCATAGGTGTAGGGGTTTGGAGATTCACGCCTGCGCTCGGGGAGCAAGGTCATGTCCACTATCCATGTCCACCATGCAGGCCATGCTGAAGGCTCAGGCTCTACCTGGACATCAACGGGAAGCCTCAGAAGGTTTGGAGGGTTGGGAGTGTAATATAATATATCCTAACTTACAAGCACTAATTAAAAAGGGGATTTAGAGCTAGCATGGCGGCACACACCTGTAATCCTAGTTACTGTGGAGATAGGAAGATCAGAGTTGGAGGCCAAATGGCAAAAAGTTAGCTCAAGACCCTATCTGAAAAATAACTAAAACAAAAAAGATTAGGGGCATGGCTTAAGTAGCAAACAGCCTGCCTAGCAAGTGCAAGGCCCCGGGTTTGATCAATAGTACCACAAAAAAGGGGTTCAGAGTAAGGCACCAGGAGACCTGGGCTGCAGTGAGTTCAATCTGAGAAGTATATGAGGGCCCCCATGGGAACAGGAAAGGCGTTGGTGAGGAGGGACTATTAACCCGAGAGACAGGACTGGTTGGACCAGCTGAGGCCAAGTATACTGAAAAGCTCCTGTCACCTGTGCCCAGGGCTATAACTTGGACTGAGTTCTCAGCCACAACCAGGGCAGTCCCTCCCCAGCCCCGAGGCAGACTCTGGAGATCCAGGCAGGCTTCACTCATTAACAGCCCAGGCAGCATTTGCCCAGGGCCACCCTACCTGCAGGGGCCTCCACCACTCCCTGGAGCTGAGCCTGGACAGTGCCCCAGGATGGCTCAGGGAACCCTGAAACCCACTGAAGGCCAGAAAGCTGGGCACCAGTGTTGCCCATGTGCCCTCAGCCTTTAGCGCCCAGAGGCAATCAGGTTGCCTACACCCCATATGTGAGCAGCTTCCTCTGCAGGACTCTTCTAGGCTACAGCTTCCAAGTGCAGCCCAGAGACTGAGGCAAGCCATCTTACTGCAGTCCCACTCTGCACACGCAAGACCCCAGGGGATGGAAACCTGGGAGAGGCTCCTCTCTCAGTTCAGAGCTGCAAGGCCTTAAGTGTCTCACAGAACTCTCCTGAAGCTGCATGCTGTGCCAGTGGCAGAACAGCCAGAGCAGGAGACAGGTGTTCAGAGCCCATGCTGGCAAGGTGCACATCCAAATAATTTTCCCCTGAGGCCTAATCAGAGCCCAGAAAAAAGGAAGTCAGCTTGCTGGGGAGAAGGAGCTGGGCTAAGAGCTTCTAGAGACCAGTTACTGCTAAGCAGAGGCTGGTGGGCAGTGGTGGCCAGGTACCTCCAAACCACTGGGTTCTTCCTTAAAGACCCCACTTCCTGCTGGGCCATTTTACCAGGGAGGGAGAGCTGGTCTGCATGCACAGCTTACTGTGGATTTTTTTTTTTTTTTGTGGTACTGGGGTTTGAACTCAGGGCCTACACCTTGAGCCACTCCATCAGCCCTTTTTTGTGATGGCTTTCTTCAAGATATGGTCTCACGAACTATTTGTCGGGGCTGATTCAAACCACGATCCTCCTGATCTCTGCCTCCTGAGTAGCTAGGATTACAGGCGTGAGCCACCAGCACTTGGTAGATCTTCGATCTTAAAAAACTCAGAAATTACAGAAAAGCCAAGAAGATAAGATCACCTGTAAGAGCTGGGGGTGTGGATCAGTGTAGAATACTTGCCCATCATGCACCAGGCCTGGGTTCCATGCCCAGCAAGAACAACAAAGAACACCATAACCCTGTAACGGGCCTCCTGGATTCCCAGCTGCACAGTGAGGCTCCTGGGTTCTTGGGTTGTGCCCATCCTCATGTGCCAGGGATGCTGGGTGAGCACTGGCTCTCCTTGGGCCCCTCAGGAAGGAACTGCTTGGAAACTGGGGCCCTGCCTCTGCCCTCCTCAGGATTTGGTCACAAACAATACAGACCAGTCTCAGAGCCTGATGTCTGAGTGCCGGGGGGGAGGACAGACAGACCCTGGTCCTGCAGAGCCTATGTGTGGAGCTCATGTCCACACAGATCCCAGCACAGCTGCTGTCACTGGGGGAGGTGAGGTTGCGGGGGAGGACCTGCCACAGAGACAACCAGGGCGAGGGGTCATAGGCCAAGAGGAGCAAAACCATCCACACTTAGGACACCCACCTCCTTGCCCTTCCTGCACTCCTAACCTGTACCCCTTTTCTGACTCCTCTGCTTGCAGAGCCCCCAGCACTACCAGCAGCCCACAGTCTCCAGGAAGCTGACAGGAGCTCCATTAAGGCACAGGCAGTCTTTGCCATCAAAGGAATGAAGGTGGCAGCTCAGTCAAAGGCTAAGCCCGCCAGACCTTCGAGGTGTGACTCAGTAAAACCTAAATGCTGCCAGCGGCGCCCCCTTATCCGCAACTACAACCTGAAGGACTGATGACTCCTGCCTTGCTATGGATCCCACGACGTCTCCCCGTTGCTGCTCACTCAGGGCCTGTGTGTATACATGGCCTGTGGACAGACTTGAGCACAGGGCAGACTCCAAGATGTTGTGGTCTCCCTGACTGACCACAGCACCATTAAAATCCATCCCCCTTCCTGCATGCGCTTGGCCAGCAGTGTCTGTCTCGTCTCACTTGGGAAGTGCGATATCGGCATGTGCCAGGCCTCTGCCACCTGCCTGTGCCACTGCCCACAGCTACGTGTGCACTGGCTGTGTCACAGACTGTACCCTTCCCCACAGCCTGGTAGGGAAGAAAGCAGAATGCCCACCCACAAAGGAAGTGTGTCCTCGGAGACTGTCATGTTAGCAGTCTCACCAGGAGTGGGAATCATCCGGTGAGCCTGGCTGGCCTGAAGCCCCGACAGCCCCATTTTTTTGTGTATGTGGGGCTCTCACTTGGGGTACTGGCAGGTAGAGGCACCAGAGTGCCTTCCATGCTCATCCTCCACGTTGGACAGCAGTAAAGTGTTTGCCACTAGGAGGGCACCTGCCAAGATGAGGCACACGTGTGCCACAAGAACACACCCACTTGCCACCAAAAGTCCCATCTTGAGATTCATCCTGGCCTGCCTTGTCACTGGCACAGATGTGCTCTGTGGCTAACCACGGAGGTTGTGACTGTATGGAGTGTCTTGTGGGCAGGGGTCCCTGCCTGGCCACGCCCTGCACACAGCAGAACTTAGGGGTACCTGGGGGCAAACATTCTTTTTGAACCACACACACAGCTTCTCTGGGACATGGGGACAAAGGCTGCTCTTAGCTCTCAGTTGTGTGATCTTGGCCAAACAGGTGACCTTTGCAGCTTTAGTCTTCACCCGTGTAAAATATGGACCATGATGCCTGTCTGTCCGGATCACAGGTGTGTGGACTGGACAAACATCACAGGAAATCCCACACCTCAGCGTGGTCCAGATGCAGGCTGAGAAATCAGGCCTACAGTCACAAATCACTCTTGCTCTCCCTGTGTCTTGGTAGTTGACTTCATGCACTTCTCCAGGCGCATATAGGAAAGGCGTGGAGGATGTCCTCACCATGGTCCACCTGGGCACACTGTGCTTCTAGGAGTGACAGGGGCCATGGCAGGCCATCTTGTTTCTCCAAGAAGCAGCAAGCTGCAGGCTGGATGCAGCTTGGGGTGGAGGGGGTGAGTGGAGATGCCTGCTCTTTAGTGCCTGAGGGTGAGTTCTCAGCATCCCCTCTGCAGAGACACAGGCGGTGGATTCAGCCTGCCCATCCTGAGGTCATAGCCCCACTGCCTGAACCCCAGACAGGCTGCAGAGGGCAGAGCCCTGCTGACCCTCTGACCACTGACCAGCAGCACTACCAGGAAGAAGTGAAGGTGGCAAATTCTAAAGTATGGTTTGCCCACTTCTGGCTGGCGCAGACACCAGCTATCTGTAAGGCTCTTCTCCTGGGGCTGGCCCTGAAACCAGAAGAGACCCACAAAAGGGGTCAGGTGGAGTCCCTTGGGAGAGGACAGTGATCCAGGGATGGGACCTGGGGCCCAGCAACCTCCTCCTAGTGGAAGGCTCAGCGTGGGAGGGGAAGGCAGGGTCTGAGCACCGAGGCATGGAAGAACTGGGGCGGGGAAGGGGAGCTCAGTGTGCGAGAACACGAGGGCGCGACTCGCGTCTGCTGACCTCCAGTGTGCCCTGCGACCCCTCCGCAGACAGCCCCGAGGGCAAGAGGAGCTGCCATGGAGCAGGGAGCTTATCTAATGCCAGGACCATGAGGCAGCAGCCCAGCCAGAGGTGTGGGGCTCTGGGTCCCTTTTGGGCTTTCTGAGAGCCCAAGCAGGAGACACAGTCAAGAACGGCTGTCCCCTCCCCGTTACCCCCTAAAGCCGGCCTACTGCCCCATGTGCCTAAGTGACCTGCACACGGGCACCAGGGACACTCAGGGGACCCAACACTAAGCATTTGTTTCTTTCTCGTTTTTTTTTCCCCTGAAAGTTCGCTAACTCTGAGCAGAGGGAGGGGGAGGCTGCCGGAAACCCGCAACATCCCCGGGAGGCGGGCAGAGACGCCTTTGTCCCCACCTCGCGGCGGGGGTCCCGCTCGCAGCCGGCGAGCCTGGCCCCTGCGATGACTCTGGGGCCTCCGGGGCTGTGCCGCCTGGCGACCCCGTCCCGACGTCTCGGTACACCGGGCGGCCACGGGGGCGGGGTGCCGGGAGGGTAGCACACAGGGCGGCCCGGCCAGCGGAACCCGGCCGCTTGACCGGCAGTAACCCTACCCGGTGCACCCTCGGCCGGGGTCAACGACCGCGCTTGCGCCGCGGCCCATCACCCTATCGCCTAGCAACGCCCACCCGCGCGCCGCCATTGGGCCAGCGCGAAAAGCCCCGGCGCCCGATTGGCCTCGGCGAAGAGTAGGCCACGCCCCTGGGTTCCGCGCGCGCTGCGACCGCGGCGCACAGCAGCGACGACCCGGGCCTGTCCCCCGCGTGGCCCCGGTGCAGTACCCGGTGTAATCTTCAGTGTTGCCAAGCATGCCCGCCCCGCCCGAGCGCGTCGCCCACGTGGCCCCGCCAGACAGAAGACCGCCGGGAGCGGGGGGTGCTGGGATGAGCCCCGCGCGCCCCGCGGTCTGCGCACAGGCCGGGGGCGGAGACTGAAGCAGAAGCAGGCGGGGGCTGCGCGCTCCCCAAGTTCCGGCGCGCACCCGCGCAGGGTCCGAGCCGAGGGGCGGCGCGCGCGAGCATCACCCCACCGGCGGCGGCGCGCCGGGTCCCGGGGCGCAGCCCCGACGCTCATTGGCCTGGGCGGCGCAGCCAAGCTGTCAGCCCATGTGGCGTGGCCGCGCGGGGATGGCTGCGGTTTAAATAGCGCCGGCGCGGCCTAGAGGGAGCCATAGAGACGCAGCGGCGCCCCCTCCGCTCCGCCTGCCGCGTTCCGCGCTCCGCGCTCCGCGCTCGCCGCCCGCCGCCCGCCGCAGCCGCCCGCCCCCAGTCCAGGTACACGGCCGCGCTCCGAGGCCCGAGCGTCCAGACGGTGTCCGAGCGCCTCGGCGGGGCGGCGAGCAGGGGCCGACTCTCCTCGGCTCCGGCCACGAAGGAGGGAGGGTGGGCGGGCAGGCGCCGACCCCCATCCTCGAGTCCACAAAGGCGCCGCCGCGCCCAGCCGACGGCCAGTTACCGGGGCATCCCGGAGGGGTTCCGCCGCCGGACCCGGGAGGGGCACGGGGAGCCAGCGCGGCAGGCGGCCGCCGTCACGTGGGTGCAGGGCCAGCCCGGTGCGGGAGGCCGGGCGCCGCGGGTCTGCGCCCGAGCCTCGTGGATGCGGGTGGTGGTGGGGGACGGGCCTTTATTGGCTTGGGGAGCCTGCTGGGGAACGCCGGGCGCGGACTTGGAAAAGCCGGGCATGCGGCCCTAGGTGTGCACGAGGCCCCGGAGGCCTCAGCGGAAGTCGCTGGACCAGCACCGCCTCGCCCTTTACGGTGAGGGTGGCGCGCGCCTCCATGCCGAACCCTCGACCGGGAGGCCTGGGTGCATTCGGCAGCTCAGGGCTCCTGGGCAGGTCCCTCAGGGACCTGAGCCGAGAGCAGAGTCTTCTGATGCCTCGGCCAGGGTACAGGGAAGCAGGCAAGCGTCCTGAGGCCTCACCTGCTCTGCACCTGGCCGAGAGTGGTGCTCCAGGTGGGATCCCGGCGACTGGCAGGGGTCAGACTTTGGCACCTATAGCACTCAGGCCTGTTCCCTCTGTGTTGTTCTCAGCCCTAGCATCTCCACTGGCCTCCACTCCCTGGCCTGAGGGCAGCGCTGGCTTCCCTGGGGCCTAAGCCAGCATGGTTTCCAGTGCCCCCAGATCACGGCTCCTTGGAGCCCTGCCTCTTTCTTTGCACTTCCCTATTCCTGGTCTGCCTTGCCTGGGATGGAGTATCCCAGGGCGCGGCAGGTAGCCGGAAGGCCTGCCAGAGGTTGTACACCTCCAGCTGATTACTGTGCTGGGAAAGCGGGGAGGGACTCAGGCAGTTAGGCACAGTGGGGTCATCCTAGGTCAGTACCTTGAGCAGAAAGGGTCAGGGCCCCAAAGGGGGCAGTGCCAAGCACCCCTTCCCCCACCCCCAGCACCCAGACCACCCAGTAAGTGGTGAGGGCAGGTCCTGGATCCTGAGGGTTTCCCCATGTGACTGTCCTGCTCTCAGGGGGGCAGGGAACAGCACAGCCAAGCCTGGGCAGCACTGCCACTGCCCTCCCTGCAGGAGGAGCCATGGAGGAAGTTGTGATTGCCGGCATGTCCGGGAAGCTGCCTGAATCTGAGAACCTGGAGGAGTTCTGGGCTAACCTCATCAATGGTGTGGACATGGTCACAGATGATGACCGGCGGTGGAAGGCGGGTGAGTAGTTGCAGAGGTACCTGCTCTGGGGGGCAGGGCAGCAGGGGAAGTTCTTGAGGCTCTCCTGCAGGTACTTCCTGCAGATAGGTGCAATGAAGGGTCCTTGCACATTCTCAAGTCTGAGGGCCAAATAGGCCCTGGTGACTTGGTGGATATTGCAGTGAGGGTACCAGAGCCCTGCCAGGCCAAGGGGACTGGGCCCTCCTGACTGTGCTATTCCTGACCTGTGCACCCAGCTGGCAGGCTGCTCTGGCCCTTGCTGTGATTCTCACGCCCAGTGGGTTTGCTGCAGAGCAGCTCTACCTGATGGACTGGTGTGAGTCAGTGTGGTGGGGCTGGCCCGGACAGCCTTGGGTCAGGCAGAGGGTCTCCCAGCTAGGATCAGTGCAAGCAAGGGGATGGTCCCCAGCCTCATCCAACAGGCTCTGCTCTGGACCCTACCTAACACAGGTGTTCTTGGGGGGTCCTTCTTAGAGGTGAGGCTGGGGTCACTAAGTCCTGCATTGGAGGCCATTCCCCAGGGAGCTTTCCCCAAGTAGCATGGACTCCTTGAGTCCATCTTGGCTCCAGGGGCTAGAGATACCCCACAAGCACTTCTTTCAGGGGGAAAAGTACCTGCCTTGTTCCACAGGGCTCTATGGGCTGCCCAGACGGGCTGGCAAGCTGAAGGACCTATCCAAGTTCGACGCCTCCTTCTTTGGGGTACACCCCAAACAGGCTCACACAATGGATCCCCAGCTCCGGCTGCTCCTGGAGGTTGCCTATGAGGCCATCGTGGATGGAGGTGGGTTGTGGAGATTGCTGGTGGCCACTTGGGGCCCTGTAGGGAAAGAACCTGTGTCTAGGGTTCTCACTGTCTCTAGAACATGGAGGGACAAGGGTCAGGATGCAGCTCATTGGGTTCTATCCTTAGCACCACAAAAGGCTATCTTTTTTTGTGCCAATGCTAAGGATATCTTTTTTTATGACAAGGATATCTTTTGGCACTAAGACACCATGAGCTCAGGAGAGTGTGGTGTAAGCCTACCTTTTCCCTGGTCCTGTCCCCAGTCTGGCCCTGATCTGGGCCAATGGCTCAGACCTGATCTGGGCAGGTCACAGTTTCACAACTGTCAGTGGCATCCAAGGCGCGCCCTGTCACCCCAGTTTCCTCACTCTGGTGTCTGGCAGTTCTTTGGGTGAGGGCGGGACTGACAGCAGAGCAGATAGCTCTGGGGGGTCACAGAGCAGATAGCTTCCTGCTTTGGGATGGCTGGCCTGGCCCGAGGAGCCTGGCACTTTCCATGTGTCAGGTTGTTTCCACTTGACAGACCTGACTTGTAGGTGCCTCGAGTCCACTGTCTCTTTCCTGGACCCTGCTGCCTAGGGCATGACCTGGCCTTCCCTTGGGCTAGAAGGCCCCCAGGGGGTGGCCAGTGTGGGGTTGTGAGGGTAGGCCTTGGGTCAATAGGTGCCAGCTGGGCCTAGCATTGCCCTGAAGCTCTCCAGGGTTCACATAACCCATCGGGGGTGCAGTGGGCCAATGAGGGGAGGCATTCTGGCAGCCTCCCTGGCAAGGCCTGTGCCTCAGGCCCTTCCAGCTGCCCAGGCTCCACCCAGAGGCCTAGAGGCCTTGGCACAGCTCCCTGGGGGCTGCACATTGTCCCTTCTCCCTTCCTAGCCTGGACACTCAGCCTTTGTCTCCTACATCTCCTTATCATCGTCCATCTCAGGGCGGGCTGCCCTTGGTGCTGGTGTGCTCATTGGCCAGCTGGTTCATCAGACCTGCCAGTGACACCAGGGGCCAAGGGAGTTGCCTGAGGACAATGCTGTCCTCTGTCCTTCCTGTGACTGCCTCTGACTATTGTCTGACCTAGACCTTGGGGGCCCCTCTGTGTCCCATTTCCTTTGTGACCTGGTTCTTGGTTCTCAGCCCTACCTGGGCTGGCTGCCCGCTTCTGTCAGCCCCTACCCTATCCCTCCCTGCACCATGCCTTGCCCTGCTCAGACCCCTTCCAGAGCCTGCTGGGATGGAGCCCCTCTCACCCCCAGCCCATCAGGCTGAGGCCTGAGGCCTCCATTCCCAGAGCTGGGCCTGATTGCTGCTTCTGGTAGGCATCAACCCGGCCTCGCTCCGAGGAACGCACACTGGCGTCTGGGTGGGTGTGAGTGGCTCCGAGGCTTCGGAGGCCCTGAGCCGAGATCCTGAGACCCTCTTGGGCTACAGCATGGTGGGCTGCCAGCGGGCAATGATGGCCAACCGGCTCTCTTTCTTCTTTGACTTCAAAGGTGGGTTTATCCCTGGACCTTTTTGGGGGTGGTGGGCAGCATGGCCTGGCCCTGGGTCTTAGACTCCTCCCGCTGAGCAGATACCACACGAGGCATGACCCAGCCTGCATGTGTGCATCCATCTGGATGACCCTTCTGATCTCAGACCACCTTGTCCCTGGGGAGGGCCACTGAGGTGCTGGAGGGCAGTCTGGCATCTGCCTCTTGCTTCTGCCTGTAGGGCCCAGCATTGCCCTGGACACAGCCTGCTCCTCCAGCTTGCTGGCGCTACAGAATGCTTACCAGGCCATCCGCAGTGGGGAGTGCCCCGCTGCCCTCGTGGGCGGCATCAACGTGCTTCTGAAGCCCAACACGTCTGTGCAGTTCATGAAGCTGGGCATGCTCAGCTCTGAGGGCACCTGCAAGTCTTTCGACAGCGCGGGTGAGGGCAGCAGGACGGCCTAGGCGGAGCCCCCAACTCCAGTTTACACTCCGCAGGGCGGGGCCCAGGCAGCTAAGCCCCTGCTGAGACGCTGCTCTGTTTCAGGGGATGGGTATTGCCGTGCAGAGGCCGTGGTGGCCGTCCTGCTGACCAAGAAGTCTCTGGCCCGGCGGGTGTATGCCACTGTCCTGAATGCTGGCACCAATACAGACGGTTGCAAGGAACAAGGTGGGCGTTGGTGACCTGTGGGGAGGGGGAGTCTGCCAGTCCACAAGGTGGGGGCAAAGAGTGCTGACCCCTAACACCTCCTCCCCCACCACAGGTGTGACCTTCCCCTCTGGGGAGGCCCAGGAGGTGCTCATCCGCTCCCTGTACCAGCCGGGCGGTGTGGCCCCCGAGTCCCTGGAGTACATTGAAGCCCATGGTACAGGCACCAAGGTGAAGACACTCCACCCAGCCCATGCCTGTGCCTCCCCAGCCCCACTAGAGAGGCTCCTGGCTGGAGTCTTGACGTCCCCCATCCCCTATAGGTGGGCGACCCCCAGGAACTGAACGGCATCGTCCGGGCCCTGTGTACCTCCCGCCAAGACCCTCTGTTAATTGGGTCCACCAAGTCCAACATGGGGCACCCCGAACCTGCATCCGGGCTCGCGGCCTTATCCAAAGTGAGCAGCTGGGGTCTGGGAGTCCCCTCTTCCTGGATAGCACCATGTCCACCACAGGCTTTCTTGTGGTGCCTTAGTTTCCTGTTTGCCCCGTCCCAACCCCTGCGAGCTGTGCTGTAGGCTGGGGGGCAGGGAGAACAGGAGCCTGCCGTCATGGTATGTTCCCTGTGGATATCTTGCTGAGCTGTTTTGTGGGGCTCAGCCAGAGGGAGCAACTGAGATGGTGATGGGAAGGGCCTCAGGACACAGCTGGACAGGCAGGTAGGAACCTACTTAGCCGGCCAGTGCAGCACATTGGGAAGACATTGAGCCACCTTCCACTCCGGGATGCCCCCACTTGCCTCCTGCCCCTGCCCATCCCTACTTCCTGACCAACCAGCTAAGCCCAGGGGCCTTCAGTCTGGCCACGCAGTAGGGACTGGCATGGTGGTCTGTCTGAGAGTTGTGTCCAGGTCCACGAGCCTGTTAACCTGACCCCATCGAGCTGGGGCACAACAGGAACCCAGTGAGGTTGAGAGGGGGTGGGTCTTGTGCCCAGGGGCACAGTACGTAGTGCTAAGCCAAGGGGGGCCGTAGGCTGGTGATGTGGGCTTCTGGGTGCTGCACCCTGCTGGGGTCAGCTGCCTAAACCATGTGCTCTGGCTGCAGGTGCTGCTGTCCCTGGAGCATGGGCTCTGGGCCCCCAACCTGCACTACCACAGCCCCAACCCTGAGATCCCAGCCCTGAGTGATGGGCGGCTGCAGGTGGTAGACCAGCCCCTGCCCATCCGTGGTGGCAATGTGGGCATCAACTCCTTTGGCTTTGGAGGCTCCAATGTGCACGTCATTCTCCAACCCAACACACAGCCACCGCCTGCACCTGCCCCCCACGGCACCCTGCCCCGTCTGCTGCGGGCCAGTGGACGCACCGCAGAAGCCGTGCAGACCCTGCTGGAGCAGGGCCTGCGGCACAGCCAGGACTTGGCCTTCGTGAGCATGCTCAATGACATTGCAGCCACCCCTGTGGCCGCCATGCCCTTCAGGGGCTATGCGGTGCTGAGTGTTGAGGACAGTGGCCAGGAAGTACAGCAGGTGTCCTCTGGCGAGCGCCCACTCTGGTTCATCTGCTCCGGTGAGCCCACCCCACACCCTCAAGCGGGCCCTCGGTTGGTCCTGGAAGGGTGGGCACGTGGGCTAGCCAGAGTGCTGTTGCGTCCTTGGCCCTGATGAGCTCTCTGGACAGGCATGGGCACCCAGTGGCACGGGATGGGGCTCAGCCTCATGCGCCTGGGCGGCTTCCGCGACTCCATCCTGCGCTCTGACGAGGCCTTGAAGCCGTTTGGAGTGAAGGTGTCCGGCCTGCTGCTGAGCACAGATGAGAGCACCTTTGATGACATTGTGCATGCCTTTGTGGGCCTCACGGCCATCCAGGTGAGGCACCTGCCTAGTGCCAGGTCTGGGGTCCTTGGCGCTTCCGTCAACGACAGAGCTTTCCCTGGGAACCAGTCACCAGGGCTGCTTGTTCCTGACCCTGTCCAATCCATGGGCACAGCGTGCCTTTTTCTGGGAAGAGCCTTGTGCTAGCACAAGTCTGGGGAAAGGGAGGGCTTCCCAGGAATCCTGACACCAGGCTGGGGGTCCCCCAGAGAGACCTGGGCATGCTGGGCTCTGGAGCCGGGTAGCCTGGGAGAGCAGCAGGACTACAGGTGGTGGTGGCTGCTGGGGCCAGGAGACCACCCATTGCAGCACTGTTGGGGATGGTCAGCCTGGCAGCCCAGGGCCCAGCCTGACATGGCCTATCTTCCCCCCTGCCCTGGTCTCCAGATTGCTCTCATAGACCTGCTGACCTCTGTGGGCCTGAGACCTGATGGCATCATTGGGCACTCCCTGGGGGAGGTGGCCTGTGGCTATGCCGATGGCTGTCTTTCCCAGGAGGAGGCTGTACTTGCAGCCTACTGGAGAGGCCAGTGCATCAAGGAGGCCCACCTCCCTGCTGGCTCCATGGCAGCTGTGGGTAGGTGTTGCCCTGGGGTCCCCTATCCCCTTCCTCCATGGGCTCTCAGGTCTTTCTGGTGGGGGGGGCTTCTTTCCTGCCACCCTGAAAAGAAAGACTAGCTTCCTGGTGGAAGAGGTGAGGGTGCAGGGGTGGGAGCCACACTGCTCAGGCCCCCTGTTCCCCGGAGCGCACAGGCCTGAGCTTAACCAACGTGGAGATGAAGCCCATAGGTAAAAGTTGTGGACTGATGCCCATTTATAAGTTGTCGGGGCTGTGGTCCAGCCCTGGAGGCTCAGGGCAGTAAGGCTAAGGTCCCTGGTGGCCCCTGTGGGGCTGCACAGTGACCAGGCCTTGGGTGTCACTTCTGAGTTGAGACTTGGCTCCCTGCCCAGTGACATCTACACTTCAGAGCAGATGCAGCAGGGTGAAAGCCTTGGGAAGGCCCGTTCCGAGGCTGTCATTATGCCATCTCCTGTCATTAAATTAATGCCTCTGGCCCAGGCAGTGTCTCCCTGATCAGGGTGGGAGGACTGGGACTTGGCCACCCTCTGAGGCCAGCTCTGCTCACAGGCTTGACCTGGGAGGAGTGTAAACAGCGCTGCCCCCCTGGCATCGTGCCTGCCTGCCACAACTCTGAAGACACAGTGACCATCTCCGGACCTCAGGTAGGCCCTGCGGCCCAGGCAGGACTTTTGTCCCCTGCGCTTGCCCTGGTGGTGGGTTTCACTTGTCCCCCAGGCCTTCCGTCTCACCTACACTGACACCTGAACCAGGTGGACGGCATGGGTGGGTGCCTGACCCACCTTTGGCCACCTCCGCTGGTACCCTAGGCCGCCATGACTGAGTTCGTGGAGCAGCTAAAGCAGGAGGGTGTGTTTGCCAGGGAGGTGCGAACCGGGGGCATCGCTTTTCACTCCTACTTCATGGACGCCATTGCCCCGACGCTACTGCAGGCTCTCAAAAAGGTGGGCGCTGACCACACGCACGGCTCCTGAGGGCGAGGGCAACCTGGCTGGGTGCTGACCAGCTCCTGTGTGCAGGTGATCCGGGAGCCGCGGCCTCGCTCAGCTCGCTGGTTCAGCACCTCCATCCCTGAGGCTCAATGGCAGGGCGAGCTGGCCCGCACGTCCTCAGCCGAGTACAACGTCAACAACTTGGTGAGCCCTGTGCTCTTCCAAGAGGCTTTGTGGCACATCCCTGAGCATGCAGTGGTGCTGGAGATCGCGCCCCATGCCCTGCTGCGGGTACGTAACCTCTCAGCCCAGAGCAGGCCACGTGGACCTGCCAGTCACTGGCCAGGGTGGGGGCAGCATGGAGGAAGTCAGAGCCTAGCCCCTCGCTACTCTGCCCCAGGCTGTCCTGAAGCGGGGTGTGAAGCCGAGCTGTACCATCATCCCGCTGATGAAGAAAGACCATAAGGACAACTTGGAGTTCTTCCTCACCAACCTTGGCAAGCTGCACCTCACAGGGTGGGTCTCCCCTCATTCTGATGCTTCCCTGGCCGCTTGGCCATCTTAGGGGACAGAGGGGGGAGTTATGTATGTTTCAGAGCCCCTAGGGCCAGGAGATCGCTCATACCTCCCTTTCCCTGTGCCAGCATCGATGTCAACCCTAATGCCTTGTTCCCGCCTGTGGAGTTCCCGGCTCCTCGAGGTACCCCTCTCATCTCCCCCCATATCAAGTGGGACCACAGTCAGACCTGGGATGTGCCAGCTTCAGAGGACTTCCCCAATGGTTCCAGCTCCTCGTCTGCCACCGTCTACACCATCGGTGAGTTGGGCACTTTGGTGGGTGGATTCCTTCTCCCAGGCTTGCAGGCAAGTGCTGAGGCCTATTCCTGCCTGCAGATGCCAGCTCCGAGTCTCCTGACCACTACCTGGTGGACCACCGCATCGATGGCCGTGTCATCTTCCCTGCCACTGGCTACCTTTGCCTGGTGTGGAGGACACTGGCTCGTGCCCTGGGTCTGGCCCTGGAGCAGACACCTGTAGTGTTTGAGGATGTGACACTACACCAGGCCACCATCCTGCCCAAGACAGGTGAGAGTGCCACAACGGGGAGGCTGGGGGTGGCTGTTGACTTGGCTCTGACCCTGCTGCTCCACAGGGACCATGCTGCTGGAGGTGCGGCTGCTGGAGGCCTCCCACACCTTCGAGGTGTCTGAGAATGGCAATCTGATAGTGAGCGGTGAGTAGGACCAGCCAGGCTGACAAGACTGGGGAAAACCAGCTCAGCCCACACTCAAGCCCTCTTGTTTACTCCCCCTGGCAGGGCAAGTGTACCAGTGGGAGAGCCCCGATCCTAAGTTCTTTGACCATCCTGAAGACCTGAGCCCTGCCACGCCTACATCCGCCTCCTTCTTGGCTCAGGCTGACATATACAAGGAGCTGCGGCTGCGTGGCTATGACTATGGCCTCCACTTCCAGGGTGTCCTTGAGGCCAGCCTCGAAGGTGGGCAAGAGCACCCTGATGTCCTCACGTGTGCCACCAGGGGTTGTGCTCCACGGCCAGGGCTAACCAGCTCCTCTGCTACAGGTGACTCAGGCAAGCTGCTCTGGAAGAACAACTGGGTGAGCTTCCTGGACACGATGCTGCAGATGTCCATCCTGGGCATGAGCCAGCGCAGTCTGCGCCTGCCCACCCGCATTGCTGCCATTCACATTGACCCTGCCGCCCATCTGCAGAAGGTGTATGCACTGCAGGGCACCCAAGGTAGCGCCAGTTCCCAGCCCCCTGCGTGCACATCCCCAGCTAGGTACTGTCCACGCTCACCAGTCTGTCCCCTCAGTGGCCAACGTGGTGGTGAACCATTGTCTGAGCATGACGGTGGCTGGTGGTGCCCGCATCTCACGGCTACACACGTCGGTGGCCCCACGGCGGCAGCAGGAGCAGATGGTGCCCATCCTGGAGAAGTTCTGTTTCACACCCCACGTGGAGGTCGGGTGCCTGTCTGAGAGCACCACCCTGCAGGAGGAACTGCAGCTATGCAAGGGTAAGGCCCTGCCAGGCCCACACACCTGCTGGTGCTTCTGGCAACAGGGAGGCAGCCCTTCACTTAACCACATTCTAGCTTTGCAGCCCCTCTCCATGTGGACTCCAGCATGCCTCGCCTCACTTCTCTGTCGTTGTCCTTGCTAATTGTCCCCTTTCCTTTTTTTTAAAAATTATTTTATTGTGGTGGTGGGGATTGAACCCATGGTCTTGCACATGCTAGGCAAGCATTCCACCACCAGGGGGCTGTACGCTGGCCAGGGCCTACAAGGCTGACCCCTTGGATTCACACAGCTATCTGCCATGCCCCAGGCTTGCAGGTGGGAAATGGTGCACTGAGCCCTCCTGGGCACAGCAGCCTCACCACCTGCCTTTGGTTTGTCCAGCTGTTTGCTCATGTGTGGGCAGGTCAGGCAGTGGGTCCCTGGGAGGCTGCTGAGGAACTTGGGGAACTTCTCCCCTCCCCTTCTCCCTTCCCCTCCCCAGGACTGATACAGGCACTGCAGAGCAAGGCAGCACAGCAGGGGCTGAAGATGGCAGTGCCTGGGCTGGATGCAGCCCAGGCCCTCCGGGAGTCCCCACAGCAAGGGCTGCCCCAGCTGCTTGCGGCTGCCTGCCAGCTGCAACTCAATGGGAACCTGCAGCTGGAGCTGGGACAGACACTGGCCCAGGAGAAAGTCTTGCTGTCGGAGGACCCCCTAGTCTGTGGGCTCCTCAACTCCCAGGCACTCAAGGCCTATGTGGACACAGCCCTGGAGAACCTGCCCAGCCTCAAGATAAAGGTGGTAGAGGTAGGTGGCGGGCAGGGCAACTGGTGGTATGTGGGTGGGTCCAGGACAAAGTCACACTGTCTTCAGGCTTTGGTCTGTTTTACCCTGAAAAATCATGGGAACACCCTCCCCACCACCAGCCCAGCATAAGAAACCGGTATTGAGAAGTCAAGGCTCAGAGTAAGAGGGCTGACCCTGTGCTCTAAGCAAGAATACTAGAGACTAGGAGTGGAGCAGGCAACTGGCTGACCAGCAGGGCTGAGCAGCCCCTGGAACAGGCACACAGTCCTGGTTGTGTCCCCTGCCTGATGGCAACTGCTTCAAAACACTGTTCCGCCTAGGTGCTGGCTGGCGAGGGTCACCTGTATTCCCGCATCCCGGCATTGCTCAACACCCAGCCCATGATGCAGCTGGACTACACAGCCACTGACCGCTATCTGGAGGCCACCCAGGCCAAGCTGCAGCAACATGGCATTGCCCAGAGCCAGTGGGACCCCATGGACCCTGCCCCTAGCAGCCTGAGTGCAGCTGACCTCCTGGTGTGCAACTGTGCATTGGCCACCCTGGGGGACCCAGCCTTGGCCCTAGCCAACATGGTAGCTGCCCTCAAGGAGGGTGGCTTCCTGCTGCTGCACACCGTGCTCAGAGGGCACACCCTTGGGGATACTCTGGCCTTTGTCACCTCCGAGCCACAGCACGGGCCCAGCCTCCTGACTCAGGTACTGCCGCTGGTCCTGTGGGGGCCGGGTGAGGGTTGAGCTGGCTGGTCGCTGACCCCCCTCACACACAGGATGAGTGGGAGAATCTGTTTTTGAGGACATCGCTGCACCTTGTGGGCCTGAAGAAGTCGTTCTATGGTTCTGTGCTCTTCCTGTGCCGCCGGCCTGCCCCACGGGAGAGCCCCATCTTCCTGCCTGTGGAGGATACCAGCTTCCGATGGGTGGACTCTCTAAAGGTCAGGCCCCAGGGACTGGCTGCTCTGCCCTGGCACAGCACAGCCAGGATCCTCCCAGAAACCGAACCTCTCCTTGTCCCGCAGAACATTCTGACTGAGTCGTCTTCTCAGCCTGTGTGGCTAACAGCAGTGGACTGCCCCACCTCAGGTGTGGTGGGCTTGGTGAACTGTCTCCGCAAAGAGCCTGGTGGGCACCGGATTCGGTAGGAGAGAGCTACCTGCTGAGCTGTGCCTGTCCTTCCCTGCTCTGCCCCGCCCCCCGCCCATTCACAACCTCTGTCTGCCCACAGGTGCATCCTGCTGTCCAACCTCAGCAGTGCCTCACACATCCCCAAGATGGAACCCAACTCTGCAGAGCTGCAGAAAGTGCTGGCAGACGACCTGGTGATGAACATATATCGCGATGGAGCCTGGGGTGCCTTTCGCCACTTTCCCCTGGAGCAGGGTGAGCCCCATTGCCACCTGTCTCTGCCAGACTGAGAAGAAGGGGGCCTGAGGACCCTAGCTGTGTAGGCCTTGTGGCAGCCCTGCTTCCTGTTGCCCCCAGACAAGCCTGAGGAGCAGACCGCACACGCTTTCGTGAATGTCCTCACCCGGGGAGACCTTGCCTCCATCCGCTGGGTCTGCTCTCCTCTGAGACATGCCCAACCCTCCAGCCCCAGGGAGCAGCTCTGCACTGTCTACTACGCCTCACTCAACTTCCGAGACATCATGCTAGCCACGGGCAAACTGTCCCCTGATGCCATCCCAGGTGCCAGCCAGTACGGGTCCTTGGTGGAATGGGATGGGTTGGATGGGGACACGGCCACAGCAGCCTCCACATGAATGCCCTGCCCTGCCACCCCTCTTGCGGAGGGACGGTGCTCTGACAAGAGGCCGCCCGTTTGCCTGCAGGGAAATGGGCCACGCGGGACTGCATGCTGGGCATGGAGTTCTCAGGCCGTGACGCCCGGGGCCGGCGTGTGATGGGTCTGGTGCCTGCTGAAGGCCTGGCCACCTCAGTCCTGCTGTCACCTGACTTCCTCTGGGATGTGCCCTCCAGCTGGTAAGTGAGCCGGGCTGCAGCCAGGGACCACAGGACCACAGGACGTTGGCTAGTGCCTAGGCCTGAGCTGGTCCCGTGCTGTGTCCTCAGGACCCTGGAGGAAGCAGCTTCTGTGCCTGTCGTCTACACCACCGCCTATTATGCACTGGTGGTGCGCGGACGGGTGCGGCACAGGGAGACGGTGCTCATCCACTCAGGCTCGGGGGGTGTGGGCCAGGCCGCCATCGCCATTGCCCTCAGCCTTGGCTGCCGCGTCTTCACCACTGTGGGTAAGGACCCTGCGCCTCTAAGTCCCCAGGCCTCCCTGGACCCCGAGGCCCAAGCTCACCCGGGCCCTCTGCCCGCCAGGCTCTGCTGAGAAGCGGGCATACCTCCAAGCCAGGTTCCCCCAGCTCGAGGACACCAGCTTTGCCAACTCCCGGGACACGTCGTTTGAGCAGCACGTGCTTCGGCACACGGGTGGCAAGGGTAAGTGTCCTGCCCCACTGCCCCAAGATGCTCGGGGAGGCTAGCCTGGTAGGGCCCGGGGCTTAGGGGCAGGTTTATGGTCCGTGTGTTGTAAGGTGAGGGCCTTTCTCCTGCCCCAGGCGTCGACCTGGTCCTCAACTCCCTCGCGGAAGAGAAGCTTCAGGCCAGTGTGAGGTGCCTGGCTCAGCATGGCCGCTTCCTGGAGATCGGGAAATTTGACCTTTCTAACAACCATCCACTGGGTGAGGCTGGCAGCTCCGGGGCGGGTGGCAGGGCACAGGTGGGCAGTGGCCATCAGTGAGCATGCCCCTCCCACTTAGGCATGGCCATCTTCCTGAAGAATGTCACCTTCCATGGGATCCTGCTGGATGCGCTCTTCGAGGAGGCCAGTGCTGACTGGCGGGAAGTGGCGGCACTGCTTCAGTCTGGCATCCGTGACGGGGTGGTGCAGCCCCTCAAGTGCACTGTATTCCCCAAGGCCCAGGTGGAGGATGCCTTCCGCTACATGGCCCAGGGGAAGCACATCGGCAAAGTCCTCATCCAGGTGAGGGGAGGCCCGGGCACCCAGTTCTAGCCCAGGGGGGAGGAGGAGTGTCTGAGTGGCTTCCTTTGGCTGCAGGTGCGTGAGGAGGAGCTGGAGGCCGTGCTGCCAGGGGCACAGCCCACCTTGATGTCTGCCATCTCCAAGACCTTCTGCCCCGCCCACAAGAGCTATGTCATCACTGGTGGCCTGGGCGGCTTTGGCCTTGAGCTGGCCCAGTGGCTCACGCTGCGGGGGGCCCAGAGGCTGGTGCTGACCTCTCGCTCAGGAATCCGCACAGGTGAGTAAGCAAGAGTACCTGAGGAGCCAGCCAGGTGGGGACACATGCCAGCCCCTACTTCTGAGCCTTGGAAGGGCTGGGGGCTAATCCCCATCCCCTAGCCCAGCCCAACCCAGTTCCACCACCTCCTGTCCTGCAGGCTACCAGGCCAAACAGGTCCATGAGTGGAGGCGGCAGGGCTTGCAAGTGCTGGTATCCACCAGTGATGCCAGCTCACTGGAGGGGGCCCGAGCCCTCATTGCTGAGGCAGCACAGCTCGGGCCTGTCGGCGGCATCTTCAACCTGGCCATGGTGAGGGAAGCCTGGGCACAAGCTGCCTCCAAAGACCGAGACGGGGATGGGGGTGGCACAGAGTGGGGTGGAGCCCCAGAACGACAGCAGGAGCTGAGATACCTTCTCCCCAGGTTTTGAGAGATGCCATGCTAGAGAACCAGAACCCAGAGCTCTTCCAGGATGTCAACAAGCCCAAGTACAGTGGCACCCTGAACCTGGACAGGTGGGTGACCCTGCTTGTGCTGGTCTTTGCCAGGTCCGAGGGGCCTGGGGAGCCCAGACTGTGGTGCCAGTGGCCTTCTCTGGCCTCTCCAGTGGGTGGCAGGGGCAGGAGGGGGTCCTGGGCCTAACAGCTGGCAGAGAGTGATATAAGCGCCCACAGGGTAACCCGGGAAGCCTGCCCCGAGCTGGACTACTTTGTGGCCTTCTCCTCAGTGAGCTGTGGACGCGGCAACGCCGGCCAGAGTAACTATGGGTTTGCCAACTCCACCATGGAGCGCATATGCGAGCAGCGTCGGCATGATGGCCTCCCAGGTGTGCCTCACCCCTGTGCATGGCTGCCCCTGCCCTGCAGCTGCCCTGTTCCCCCAACCCCTCACCCTTTGGCCCTCTTGCCTGCAGGCCTCGCCGTGCAGTGGGGTGCCATTGGTGACGTGGGCATTGTTCTGGAGGCAATGGGCACTAATGACACAGTCATCGGCGGCACATTGCCACAGCGCATCACCTCCTGCCTGGAAGTGCTGGACCTCTTCCTGAACCAGCCCCATGCTGTCCTGAGCAGCTTCGTGCTGGCTGAGAAGACTGTGTCCCGTGGGGATGGCGAAGGGCAGCAGGACCTGGTGAAGGCCGTGGCACACATCCTGGGTGAGCTCCATCAGTGGGAACTCTCTCCCAGGGCACTGGCACCAGGATGCTCCACTCAGCTGACGGATCTCTGAGCCTCAGTTTACCTGTGTAGAAAGGGGCAAGTTACTGAGGTTTATATACCACAGTGAGCCGGTGTGACGGCTGCAGACATGCTAGTGGGTGGCCGTGGTGGTGGTTCAGGGAGATGCACAGACAGACCCACCCTAAGCCTAGCATCCCAGCCTCTGCTTGGTGCCCACTCAGACCATCTCCATACCCCCTCCCAAATCATGACCAGTCCCCTCTTTCCCAGGCATCCGTGACCTGGCAGGTATCAACCTGGACAGTTCACTGGCAGACCTGGGCCTGGATTCGCTCATGGGCGTGGAGGTACGCCAGACACTGGAGCGCGAGCATGATCTGGTGCTGTCCATGCGTGAGGTGAGGCAGCTCACACTTCGGAAGCTACAGGAGCTGTCCTCCAAAACTGCTGGGGCCACCGGTGCGTACAACAGTGTGACAGGCTGTTGGGGGGGCATCTGGCACTAGGTGAGCAGCGCCCCTTCCTGAGAGCATTGTGGGACCTAGGGCTCTTGCACCAGCAGGCTTATGCATGTGTCCCTGTGCGTGTCCTGCGTCTGGCATTTACCCTGTCCTCACAGATCTGACGGACCCCAAAGCCCAGAACAGTCCAGCCTGGCAGCAGGCCCAGCTGAACCTGAGCTCCCTGCTGGTAAACCCTGAGGGTCCCACTCTGATGCGGCTGAACTCTGTGCAGAGCTCTGAACGGCCACTGTTCCTAGTGCACCCAATTGAGGGCTCTACTACCGTGTTTCACAGCCTGGCCGCCAAGCTCAGCATGCCCACCTATGGCCTACAGTGCACCCGAGGTATGGCACCCACGTCTCACGTGAGTCACAGCTCGGCAGAGCCCAGGCCCCTCCCACCTGCTGACTCCTCCATGTTGCCGTTACAGCCGCACCGCTGGACAGCATTCAGAGCCTGGCTGCCTACTACGTCGACTGCATCAGGCAGGTGCAGCCCGAGGGGCCCTACCGCGTGGCTGGATACTCCTATGGTGCCTGCGTGGCTTTTGAGATGTGCTCCCAGCTGCAGGCCCAGCAGGGCCCGACCCCCACCCACAACAGCCTCTTCCTGTTTGATGGCTCACACGCCTATGTGCTAGCCTACACCCAGGTGAGGGCTGGGCCTGGGCTCCCCATCCCGCACCCTGGCTTTGGATTGGCCTTTCCTGGGAAGGTCTTAGCCACAGCCACCTGGGTATTTGCTGCAGCAGCCCTTCTCCCTCCACAGAGCTACCGTGCTAAGATGACATCAGGCTGCGAGGCCGAGGCCGAGGCCGAGGCTATATGCTTCTTTGTGCAACAGTTCACTGACGTAGAGCACAGCAGGGTGAGCCAGCATCCCCAGCGCTGAGCTGAGTGGTCTCCACCCCCTGGACAAGTGGGCTTGGGGGCTGCAAGGGTGAGGACACCTCCCTGGTGGGGTTAGGGGCAGACTGCTGGCCCCTCACACGCACAGCGTTCACACAGGTGCTAGAGACCCTGCTACCGCTGAAGGGCTTGGAAGAGCGTGTAGCTGCTGCTGTGGACTTCATTACCAAGAGCCACCAGGGCCTGGACCCCCAAAAGCTGAGTTTTGCTGTCCTGTCCTTTTACCACAAGCTGCGTGCAGCTGAGCAGTACATGCCTAAGTCCAAGTACCATGGCAACGTGACGCTTCTGCGAGCCAAGACAGGTGGTGCCTATGGCGAGAACCTGGGTGCTGACTACAACCTCTCCCAGGTGAGTGGGACGGGCAGGCAGCAGTCCCTGGAGGTGGTAGGGCGGCACAGCCAGCTCACGGCCATTACTTTGCAGGTGTGTGACGGAAAGGTATCTGTGCATGTAATCGAGGGTGACCACCGCACGTTGCTGGAGGGCCAAGGCTTGGAGTCCATTATCAGTATCATCCACAGCTCCCTGGCTGAGCCACGTGTGAGTGTGCGGGAGGGCTAGACCCTGCCCGTCACCAGAGACGCTCCGATCCCCACACCTGTGCACAGGGGCCAGGGAGGGTCCTGCCGGTGGGACCCATGGCCCAGCACCGCCGCCTCCCTTGGCAGCTGCTAGAAGTAGGACCATCACACGTGTCCCACCCACCTGCCACCTGCCATGCTGGCACCAGGGGACCCCAGAGGCACTGACTCGGAGACACCCTTGTCTGTGAAGAGTCAGCATGCCCTGCGGGAACCAAGCTGAGCCTTTTCTGCCATGTGGGGCTTGCCACACTGGTTGGTTGGTTTTTCTCCATTGAAATTCTCATATTTATTGCATTGCTGGGAAGGACTCCCAGGGCTTGTTCTCCCTGTGAAGATGGCAGAAGCCACTCAGGGTAGACTTCTGGGGAGCACCGTACCCATTCTGTACGTCGCACACAGGTTGCTCTGGGCCTGCTGGCTGGAGCCCCTCTTTAGCCAGGCTCTGCTCCTGCCCACAGCAGGACAGGGCAGGAGAGGGCCAGTCTGGGGAACGAGGACCCCAGGAGGCACTGTAGCCATGGGCCCCGGGCCCTCAGTCCCCAGCATCCCGGCTGCACCCATGATGTAGGGCCAACCACTGACCCTGCGGACCGCACCGGGCAGCAAATGTTTGTGTTCATTTCCTAAGAAATGACTCAGAAGTCTGCTTGGGTTTTGGAATTTACTGTAACGGTCAGTGTAAAGAACCATGTCTGCGTAATGTTTTTATTTCTACAACAACTTGGTAAAAATGCTGCTCTTGATGCCCTTGTCCACTCCCCACGAGTAAACCACATGAGCGCTGGTCTCTGCCTTGTTTCTTTCCTCCCCTCTACCTGTGCCGTACATCCCAGTCCCACCCTGCCAAGGGGCTTACCACACCCTTCAGGCACCACCATCACCCCCGCCCTAGGGAATTGCACACACCTTGGTGTGTCTGTCCTTGGGGCTTGGGCCAAGTGGAGAGTATGGAGTGGTGTGTCTATCTGGGCTGTACTGAAGAAGTACATTGAGGAGTAGGGGTGTGGTTCTGTGATAGAGCACTTGCTTAGCATGTGTGAGGCCTTAGGTTCCATCTCCCGCACTGACTTGGGTCACCCAGTTGTGGCTGGCACAGGGGAAGGGTGCACTGTTTATTCTGTCAGCTGATTGGGGATGAGGACCACCCCCTGGTGGGGACAAGATTTTACTTGCAGTCAGTTAATAATGATAGTTGCCAGCCCCATCTGCAAAATCTCTCCTGCAACATCTAGGCTAGAGCTAAGAAGGTCCTCCAAAGGTGACATAATGGATGAATGCAGGCCTCTATAGGACCATGCTTGAGTTGACACAAACTGACCCTCACACATGTAAAGGAGTGGAGGTTGAATGGTAGGTGAAAGGAACAGGAGAGCCCTGATCTATAAGGGCAGCCAGGCTCTGAAGGAAAGCCACCCTGGACCCTGCGAGGCAGACTGTTGTGCAGCAAGGCAGCAGCTTCCCCAGGCTGAGCGTCCAGGAGACAGTGGTACCAAGGGAGGGGGCTGTACCTGTGTGGTGTGGTCAGGACTGCAGGGAGCACCAGCACCAAGAGCTTCCATAGGGCTGGGACTTCTCCCACAGCCCCCCTGGAAGCCCTTGGGACTGAAGTAGTGGGTAATCCAAGATGACTTAACTAGTTATTAGTTATCTCTGGTCCCACCTGAAAACAGTCTTAAAAAATAAGACCCAAAGGGTTACATTTGTTCTATGTAAACTTAGAAAAAACTCAAGGAGACTTAGGTAATCTCTGGAAACATGAAAAATCAGTGTTTATGCTGGGCAAAGTAGTGCTCACCTGTAATCCCAGCAGGAGGATCTGGCCAGCCCTAGCTACACTGCAGACCCTGCCCTCCCTCCCCCCAAAAAAACCCTGGGAGTGGGGTGGTGGAAAGGCCCTGGGTTCCAGCCCCACAGGGTCCTGCTGAGACCCACAGGACCACATGAGCCTCAACTTGCAGCTTCCATAGGCTGTAGCTGGCCCCTTCTGTTGGTGGGGTAGGAAAAGGCTACTGAGTCTCATGATATCCTCCCCCCAATCCAGGGTCAGGAGCCACACTCCTGACTGGTACCCAGAAGGCTACTGCAGAGCCAAAACACTGGCTGGGCACTAGTGACTCACTCACACCTGTAATCCTAGCTACTCAGGAGGCAGAGATTAAGAGGATCCAGGCCAGCCTGGGCAAATAGTTTAAGAGACCCTATCTATCTCAAAAATGCCTAACCAAAAAAAAAAAAAAAGGGCTAGCAGAATGGCTCAAATGGTAGAGTGCCTGCCTAGCAAGCATGAGGCCTGAGTTTAAACCTCAATACCACACACCCACACACACAACAGCAATAGCAACCACCAGGAACGTGTTGATCTGCATGGGAAAACAGACAATCCATCAGTGACAAAACTGAGCTTAGAGATGCTCTGACAACAGCTTAAAACAGCCAGTGGGCCAAGGGTTCAGCTCATGTACAGCACTTGCCTAGCAAGTGATGCTAGGCCTTGGGTTTGATCCCCAGTACTGAAGAAGGAAAAAAAAGCTAAACAAGCAAAATAAAGTAGTCATCACAACATGCTTCAATGAGCAAGTAGCACATCTGCCAACAGTGAAAACAAAGTCTCATCAAAAGAACCAAATGGAAATCTTAGCAGTGAGAAATCCAAGGATGGAAATGACGGCACAATGGGTGGCTTCAGAGCAGGATAGAGAAGACAGGCAGCCAGACATCTGGGACGATTAGTGCTCTTGCACAAGTCTAATGTCAGTGTCACTGGGGAGGCAGGAGAGAAGACAGGGCTGAAAACCTACTCAAAGAAATAGTGACTGAACCCCTCCATCTGGCTAAATACTTGAAAAGCTGACTGAGCCCCACACAGGAGAACCCCAAAGGAATCGACCCGCCCAGCACACATCAAACTGCTGAAAGCTGCAGACGAGAGCTGCAGAGCAGTGAGACGACGTCCTCCCTCCAGGGAAAGGTGCCGATGACGAGGCCTGCTCACCAGAAACCACCGGGGCCAGAGGCAGTGCGGGAAAACAACAAAAAAACCAGGCCAGCAAAGTCCTGCCTCAGGCGTACGGGAAAGTGACATCGTCAGAGCAGAGAGTTTGTGGCCAGCGGACCTACCCTAAAAGAACAGCTGAAGGAAGTTTCCTAAATAGAAAGGAAATGACAGAAGAAGGGGTCGTGAGAAATGGATAGGCAAAAATTACGGGTAAATCCATTTTCCTTCACTTCTCTAGGTTCATGCTTCGAAACTGAAGTAAAAGTTAGTTATAACTAGGTGATGCGACTCTAAATGTACACGGAGGACTATGTAAGGTGACTATGGGGGGCAGTGTATGTAGGGCAGAGGGACCTATGCTCACCTCACTGGAACCCCTAAAATACACCTGCATACCGCAGAAGTCACACACGTGACATGCACCTGCAATAGCCACCAAGGGCACACACCAGAGTGACCTCCTGTGAAGTTGTGTGGCGGGGGACTATGAGAATCATCCCTCTCCAGGCAACCACCAGTCTAGAAAAGAATGCCAGTAGTCCATGGCGTCAGAGCGCTGAAGGGAGAGGAACTGTGTAAGCAAATCACACCTGGTCCCTCTAGCCTTTGTTCTGTTCTTTTTCTTTCAGGCAGGGTCTTACTGTATTGCCCAGGCGGGTCTCAAACTCCTAGGTTCCAGCAGTCTTCCTACTTTAGCCTCCTGAGTAGCTGGTGCCCCACCACACCCAGCTTCCTCCTCCTTTAAGGATACCAATTCTAGCAGATCAGGAGCCGCCCTACCACCTCACTTGCGTTTATTACCTCTTTTTTTTCTTTTTGTTTACTACCTCTTTATAGCTCTGAATATGGTCACATTGGGATTAGGGTTTCAATGTGTAAGTTTGGGTGACACAATTCAGTTCATAGCAAGGTAATAATTCTTCACAACTCTATGAAGCCAGCATTATTCTGATTAATCCCCTGACAGATTCATAACTTGATAGCATTTCTGTGGGGAGGAAACTGGCCACTGGGGGAATGAGTGTCTTTCAAGGGTATCTTGTCCCTGGCCCTTCCCATCTGCCTGTCTGTCCGTCTCTCTCCCTCTCTCCCTCTCTCTCTCTCTCTCTCTCTCTCTCTCTCTCTCTCTCTCTCTCTCTCTCTCTCTCTCTCTCCCCCCTCTCTTTCTGTTTCTCTCCTTCCTGGCTGACCTAAGGTGAGCATCCTCCTCTGTTACCTTGAACTGAAACCTCTGTAACTAAGATCCAAAATAAACTGTCCTTCCTTCTCAATTGTTTCCCACAGCTGTTTGTCACAGCAGTGAAAATTGGCAAACACAAATACCAATATCCAGCATGATCACAAAAATCCTAAACATGTTAGGGAAAAATCCTCAACAAAACCTTAGCAAATAGAATTGCACAATAAATACCAAGGGTAACACCTCAGGACCAAATGGGTTTTATCCTAGGAGGCAAGTCAGGTTCCTAATTCAAAAATTAGTAACTATATTTCATCTGACTGACAGGCCAAAAACTGACCATCTTCACAGAAAAAAAAAAAGCATCAAGCACATACAAAATCCAACACCCATTCCTGGTAAAACTCAGCCGCTGGACACCAGGGCTCATCCCTGTAATCCCAGCTACTACGGAGGCAGAGATCAGGAGGATCGAGGTTCAAAGCCAGCCTGGGCAAATAGTTCCGTGAGACCCCATTTCGAAAAACCCTTCACAAAAATAGGGCTAGTAGAATGGCTCAAGGTGAAGGCCCTGAGTTCATGCCCCAGTACTGCCCCTCCACCAAATACATATCTATGAAAAAGAAATAAGCCAGGCACAGTGGTACAAGCCTGTAATCCTAGCTACTGGGGAGGGAGAGACTGGGAGGATCTGTTTGATGCCAGCCCCAGGCAAAAAGTTTGAGACTCCATCTCAACCAATAAAATGCTGGACATGTGGCGTGCACCTGTCACCCCAGGTACGTGGGATGCACGAATAGGAGGACTGTGGTCCAGGTCAGCCTCGGCATGAATGCAAAACCCTACCTCAAAAATAACCAAGACAAAAAGTGACTGAGGGCATGGCTCAAGTAGGAGAGTGCCTGCCTAGGAAACATGAGGCACTGAGTTTAAACCCCAGTACCAGCCAGGTGCCTAGTTCTTAGGAGGCTGAGATCAGGAGGATCTCAGTTCAAGGCCAGTCTGGGCGAATAGTTCGTGAGACCCCCATCTCCAGAGTAAAAATGAACTGGAAATGTGGTTCAAGCAGTAGAGTGTGTGCTATATGCAATTGTGAAGCTCTGAGTTCAAAGCTCAGTTCCACAAAAAAAAGAAGAAAAAAGAAATACTTAGAGATAGGTATCGTGAGAGATGTATAGGACTGTGTACTGAAGACTATAACACCCTGCTGAAAGAAATGAAGGAAGTTCTGATTAAATAGACGTCAACTGTGTCCATGGATTAGAAGACTCAATATTGTTAAGATGCAAATTCTCTCCAAATTGATCTATAAGTCCAATGCAATCCCTAACAAAATTCAAACAGACTTCTTGTAAAAATCAACAAGCTGACTCTAGTTCATATTAGCAATTAAAAACGCAGACTAGCCACTGATATACAACGAAGCCGAAGAGCTTGCACTGCTAGATTTCGACATTTTTTAAGATTTAAGTCTAAAGCTACAATCATCAAGGCGGTGTGGTAATGGCATGAAGATACCTGAGCAAGAGCTGGAGCATGACTCAAGCAACAGACCTCCTGCCTCGCAAGTAAAAAGCCCTGCTGGGGGCTCACTCCTGTAATCCTACCTACTCTGGAGGAT